GTGAATCAGGGTCGTCCTTGTTGTCTGCATGTTCCCCATCTCCAACCTCCAGCAGCAAGAGGGAGAGCGGCCAAATTTAAATAAACTTTAAAAAATTGAAATCTTTGTTTTTCACTAATTGCATAACGAATTTAAAGATAAAATAACATTGGAAAACTTGATGCCAGCCTTTACGTTTAATTATGACGTAGATCGAATTGCTTTTCTTCTGAAACTAATTTTTAATCAACAGAGCCGTAGAAAGGGCAAGCTGACACCCTTTTTTTCTGTCGATGTGCAATAATAGCAGCTTCTTTTCTCAACACGCCAGACCATAATTTTCCGCAGCGAAGACAACTCACAAGGGACCGATCATTGGATGAACTTTCCTTTGGTTTTTAGGGCCACTGCTTCTAGACTCATCATTGTGTTTTCCCTTAAATGGATTACGTTTTTAACAACGCGATTATACGGAAGATGCAACATGTCGATCGAACAGTTTTTGTCTAGAGTGATCCCTCCAATCTGAGCTACCTAGACTGTGTAATGGTCCACCCAAGCTCAGTGGAGTGGACAACCCAACCAGTAATGGTCACATTTGTATACACATGGTCAGACCGTCGGTTACTGGTGGATCACCGCTGAAGTGGATCAAAGTGTCACAGGGTGACTTTATAGCCCTATCTTTTAAGCTCATGGCTTTTGGACCACTTCAATTTAGTATAGTGTAGAGTTTCACCTCGGTGGGGTAGTCCCCCGTGAAGATCCGGTATAGAATTTATCTTCAGCAACCCATGCTTGTCGTAAGAGGCGCTCCATTGCGTAGATCAATGCTCACTGGACTGTCTGGTCCAAACTCGATTATTTACAGACCTCCGCCATATGGCTGGACTGTTGCTGAGTGCGACGGTAAACAAAGCAACCAACCAACGTTAAGGTAGTCATGCTGTAAACCACAGGTAGCTGCCGCCAATTGTGCCGCAGCCATCGTTATTATAAATTTGTAATCTTGGTGGGTCACACCCTTGTATGTCATCACAACAATCACAGCAAGTAATCCTGTTTCTACTCGATCTGTCCATTGTTGTCTTGTTATATATATATATATATGTTTACATCTAAGCTGTCAGGCGTTTGGTATTCCTACTGCGACGAAGATACACCTGCTTGCTGGACTTCTATTTGTTGTAATTCTGTTAGTTCGCCCGTCGAGACACATATGCCTTCACAAAAGGAATGAAAAAGAAGGTGCTATAATATTAAAATGCTTGATATTTCTTATTTCCCTCATTCTTGGGCTTGATATACTATCCCAGCAGTCCTGTGTAATATGTGTGTGTGTGTTTCTTGTCTAAATCTGCACTCAACAAAGTTACAGATTCATATTGATTTAAATAGCAGGCATCAAATATAACCTATACAACACAGTACTAGTGCTACAATGATTGTAAATGTAAGGTTGGTAGTTCGAGCCCCAGACCGCCTCCGTGGTGCAGGAAAGAATGTCTCCCCGGGACTTGTGTTAACCTACCTGGAATGATAAAATGCTAAGGACATACCGACAGTGTAGTGTCTGAGTGAGATATTCATGTTGAACTGAAGGGAGGGGAGACGACTAGCATTATAAAACAGCCATTTCTTGGAAAAACACAAACACAGGCACACACAAACGCACACACACAACCGAGCATTAACCTGATGTTTATGTCATTTGTGTTGTATAGTTGAACTTGTGTGAGAGTAAAATGTAGTTCTAGTAAAGCACCTGTGAAAGGGCATCTGCAGCTCAAAGATCAGTGAAAGGATGTGTTAGTTTTAGATGTTGGTTTCCACGAAATACCAGCATGGATCATTGATGACTCTGTGAAATGCCCTGATGTTGCAGACGGAGACTGCATACGTACTGTTTACTTGTAATAATATTTGCTCCGAACATAAGTTGATTTTTGTAAACATAGTGTTGACCCAGACGGTTCATTGGCATTTAGAAGTTGGAAGGTAACATAGCAACGTATGGTATGGGGCAAGAAGTAGCCCCAAAACGTCGTGTTGTAGATAATAAAGAAGTTGTAAATCCATACCATACGTTGTTATAGTGCTGTTGATCCGCGCTGAACTATCAACTGTCTTGATGCGTAAAACCTATGTCTTCGGTTGATATGTTGAAGCCCCGTGCAACGTCTTGTCACTGTAATGAGACAGAGCTCAACCTGTTGAACGCCATCAGTTACAAGTCACATGGCAAGTGCCCAGTGTTATGGGCTGGCTTCAACACGTCTATATAATCACAGTGTTACACAGTATATACATCCATCAGCTTTCTTTGTCCGGAAATTCCCTATAATCGGTCCGGGAATTCCCGATAATCGGTTAATAAAGCGCGTGTATGGCCAGCAACTGAAGAATCGTCCTATGCATCATAGATGGGTCATGTCAAGTGCATTTTAACACAGCTTACTCAATAGGTAGTGTTAAAATCTATACAATAGGTAGTATTAACATATATACAATAGGTCATGCTAAAATCTATACAATAGTTAATGTTAAAATCTATTCAACAGGTAATGTTAAAACGCATTAAATATCAGCACTGAAACAGCCGTTACATCGCCCTGTTGTATGATTCAACTCGGTTACAGCGTTGAACAGCGTCGATGAGAAATATAAACATTTGTAGCAATTAACGTTTCTTACAGAAGTGATCGTGTTCACACAATACATGGTGGAGCTGTGAACGGATCAATACATCACTAGATGGAGAACTGATGGCTATTTGAACTGACGGATATCGGAACAGACAGTTGTATGATGTTCATTTCATTGATACTGGTCAATACACGTGGTATGGGCTTCCGCCGCAGCATCTTGCAGTGGGAATTTGTAAAGACATTCCTATAAAAATGTGATGAAAGTATCGCCACATAAGATCAAATGAGCCATGTCTAAATATCAAATTCTGTGAGATATATGAAAGAAATTTTACGCTTTAACCCGGAAGGCAATACAGATTGGGTTTATTGGTGTCCCTCTGTCAGATATTATTTGGACGTTTTCCAAGTTTGTTTCCAGTTCGCTTTGTTATTTTTACTGGACGTTTAGCTTAGCTATTGATGTATATACATGGATGGATAGAGAGATAGATAGGTCAATGGATATTTGAGTGATCTTTAAAACTACTATTTACAACATATCAAAGTCTCTGATGCTGGAGTGAAATCGTTGTCCTTTTACGCACGAACATACATCACGTTGATTAAACGTTTTTTGGGGAAATGTAAAATCGATTTCTTTTCTGGTTAGAAATAGTTTGTGCAATAGGTTATCTTGCCTGTGTAAAGTTTGACCTATACAACAGCGGCGAATCTGGGGGTCATGATGGGAAAATAAGCTATTTCCACGTTGAATTCAATATACTGTTTATTTCCTATCTGCAAGAAAAGGACACCATGGTGAGTCGGGTCAAGGACCTGGGGAAGGGGAGGCGATACAGGCACATCAAACAATCTGTTGCATCCTCGTCCTTCTTGGCACGGGATGCTTATTTATCAGAACATTGTTGGGATCAAGACAGAACCGTCTGTATCCAAAGTTTCGATTGTGAAAAGATCGTTGCCCGATTCAGACAGATAAATAGGCTGCGTTTGATACAGAACAGCTGCAGCTGTTTCCAGTCGCCATCTGAATATCGTTATTTTGTCGCAGCGTGTGTAAATATATCCTGTCAACAAAGGTGCTATCCTGCAAAAGTTACACCAATCTCTGAAATGATCAACTCATAGTTACCGTTCTTCACGATTCGTCTGTTGTTTCATAACGACAAATTAAGATTCGATTATGAGCGCAATTGGCACTCTGCAAACAAAAACATAATATTCTTAAAAGGTACTCATGCGCTCTGCAGCACAATTTCCTGTGTCATTGACGAATTCGCTCTGCCCACACTCAGCTCATGTCCAACTCATGCACAACACGCAGCATTTGACATTTGTGATGTGAAGGCGTCATTTGGGATATTCCCATTCGTATATGTGTCTGTGGCAAACAAGTCATTGTTCTCCTACACGGGCGCCGACATATGATGCCAACGTGATTCAACTGCCTATTTATATGATTCTCATCACAAGAGATTTGCATAGCAATGTCGTCCCCCGCCTATTCACAAACGGTACACCTGATAGATTTCCGATGGTATCCAACCTCAGACTACACAAGAAAGCCAATTAGGTTTCCCGGACATGAGCTGTCAATTAAGTGACCAAGCCTTATGCCAACTTATGGACGGAGGTATATGGTGAAGAAACCAATATCATTGCTAAGTAGTTTGTCCTTAAAGTTAGGTCTACAAGAATGCTAAATTAGTAAATGGATATATTTAATGTAAACGTTTGAAGAACAAGCGGAAATGAGTAAAATGAAACCTGAGCCATTTGACATGTGTTGTAAAAGTACATAGACTGTGTGACTTGAGCGCAGTACACACCCACGGATCGAATGGTGGTGATCCGTGAAACATGCTCTCAATACATTGAAGGAGTCATGAAATATATACTGCTATGGTTGGTCTCCTGGAGACCGATCTGTTTAGAATTAACAAAGATAGAAGGGTATCGAGTAAGTACCTCAGTCAGCGTTTTACAGACACCAAATGTTAATGATCGGTCCCGCACAAGGCGCCTTAAGTCAACAGCAGGCAAGGGAGTTAACTCAATGTAAAAAGTCAGCTTTCCATCCCTGACAAACTAGCAACATTTCTACTTCCGGTTCATGAACACCAAAGTGTTAACTTAATTTGATGCACTTCGCGAAAAAAGTTCGGCATATGAGGGAAATAACTCGTACCTGCACCTGGTGGCGCTACAATTGAGTCACAAAAATCTAAGCCTTGAGTTCATCAAGGTCTTGAGAAGATTCTATTGAAATCGCCTAATATATTCTTTTTAAGAGTATGTATGCGTGCGTGCGTGCGTGTGTGTGATTTGTATGTATTTGATTGTAACCAGATTTACTGTTATCTTTCGCAGCCTTCCAAGACACCTACTTCGACGAAGACCCCAGTGATCCACTGCCTCGTTTTCTACCTAACCCTAGTAACTACACGTATCGAGTTGGACAAACAGCAGTGTTAAAGTGTGCAGTGGAGAATCTAGGGGAAAAGAAGGTAAGTTAAACACCCACCTTTGCCGCGCCATACTTCCGTGTACACGCTGTATAGCGGGGTTCCTTGGACCACATTCATGGTGATGTCCCAATCTTTGGGTCGCAGGACAGAGTGCATGTCCACGATGTAAACCCCTTGTAATATCGAAGGATGACAGCTGACAGTTGCATAAGCATGTGTTTATACACCGCCTATGATTTATTTCCATGTGAAAAGCAATTTCACAAATCTGCAATAAATACTTATTGTATATGGTAAATTTGGTCTCGAAAAACATGGGTAATAACTTCAATTTTAAAAAACATTTGGTAGGCAGCTATGACTGCATTAGGGATGCAAGTGTTTACCACCTCTAGAATGCCTCTCAAACAGTTTATGACTGCATTAGGGATGCAAGTGTTTACAACTTCTAGAATGCCTCTCAAACAGTTTATGACTGCATTGGGGATGCAAGTGTTTACCACTTCTAGAATGCCTCTCAAACAGTTTATGACTGCATTGGGGATGTAAGTGTTTACAACTTCTAGAATGCCTCTCAAACAGTTTATGACTGCATTGGGGATGACAAGTGTTTACAACTTCTAGAATGCCTCTCAAACAGTTTATGACTGCATTGGGGATGTAAGTGTTTACAACTTCTAGAATGCCTCTCAAACAGTTTATGACTGCATTGATATCTAGTCTCCATACACGTTCTTCTGTCGTCAAGACGATACGGAAACGCAACACGTCCCAGTTTTTGCTACGAGGTGTTAACTCAACTTCAGCAATGGTTTAAGACATGTCAGCTATACAGGGGCAATATTTGTTTGAGTATTTTTGTTTCTCCAATCCCAGTTGATATTCACTAAACAGTAGCAGTGGCCAAACTTCAAACTTAGGCATATGCTGGATATTCAGGGTAAAACAGTGACCTTCACACATCCGTTTGTTTGCTGTAATTTGAGGTGATTGTTTGTGGAAGCTGGAAGCATGAACTTGCCCAATGATAAGGTCTAAATACCTGCAAGATAGTCTCATATCATGCTGGATTAGTCCACAGTCATTCCAGAAAAGTTCAGATAATTCTCGACTCCGAAAAGTAGTAATATTGTACCTCTCAACACCACTGCTTACATTAGATGGTAAGTACATTTCTGACACCACAAATTAAAACACAAATTCATGACCATCTACTGCAGTTTATCAGAAATAATGAAATACATTTGTATTATCTATATATAATAAATCACTTTGCAAAGTAACACTACCTGTTCAATTGCTTCCTTTCCCACAGTCTTCTCGCAGCAGCTCCCGGTGATATCTGAGCCATTTATCAAACCGAGATCAATATCACATGTAAACAACAGTTTCTAATTAGATATGCTGGTTGCAATAATGATACTGGCACCAAGAAAATACCGATAAGCTATCTGTTGTTAATAATGTTTTGTAATTATACCCGTGAACATTCTGATAGAAATGTTGTTTGATGTTTTAAGAATACACACATCTTCAACGTGTGATGTTGATACTATTAGTTACTCCTGGTTTATTAAACATGTATTTACAACATTAACCAGAATCATCATTACTTCTCTAGACTTTCAGTTGCCTAGAGTTATGTTCAAGTAATACCCCACATTATAGTTATTACAATTAATCCTTATATAAGTATCAGCATTACACATAACGGCCCAGGGGTTTGGCCTTCTGGAACGAGTATATGCAACCTACCTCGATTCCTCACAAACGTTTCAATGCCCCTCCGCTTTCCCGTGAGTAACATTGTTGAATTACAGTTGGTGTGAGGTAACAAACAGCGTCCTTCTTTATATAGAGAATATAGTACCCGTGTTGAGTACGAGGAAAGAGGAAAGAAGTTTCATACTTTTATTGGCGAGTGTGGCTATATTTTGATCTCAAAAGACACTCGGGTAATTTCGGTTGACAACCCTATATCATTCTTCCAACTTTATCAGTTTGTAAACTGTAAATGTCAGTTTCCTGTGAGCAGAACATGTAATAACCAGCTTCAGCGGCAGAGAGATTAGTCGTTTAGGTATGGTCATCTATGATTCTCCCGCAAAACATTGTGATGCAACTTCCTTCCCACGAGTTCTGTTTTCGATGATAAAATGTATCGCTGACAAACATTACATTTATTCAAAACGCATTATCAGATCAGCATTACCGGATCAGCATTATCAGATCAGCATGACCGGATCAGCATTATCAGATCAGCATTACCGGATCAGCATTACCGGATCAGCATTACCGGATCAGCATTTCCGGATCAGCATTTCCAGATCAGCATTATCAGATCAGCATTACCGGATCAGATCAGCATTACCGGATCAGCATTATCAGATCAGCATTACCGGATCAGCATTACCGGATCAGCATTACCGGATCAGCATTACCGGATCAGCATTACCGGATCAGCATTACCAGATCAGCATTACCAGATCGGCATTATCAGATCAGCATTACTGCATCAGCATTACCGGTTCAGCATTATCAGATCAGCATTACCGGATCAGCATTACCGGATCGGCATTATCAGATCAGCATTACCGGATCAGCATTACCGGATCAGCATTATCAGATCAGTATTACCGGATCAGCATTTCCAGCAACAATAGCAACAAAACATGACACTTGTGTGATTTTCGCCAGTGCCTGTGACGTCATGATGTGATGTCATCAACCAGATTACGTCGTTGCGTCATCCTCGAGCAGCAGTCAGTATATACCAAGGGAAGACTGAACACAGACCAAGCTTGGTTTCCTGCCAGTAAAAGATAACAAACTTCCAAGTGTTTCAAAAATTCAAAAAGCGGAGAAGATTAATGTGTTCCTTCTTAACGAGAAGCCAAATGTAAATGTTTAGGCTGTCAACAGGGCTAGATGCTTGTAAGTACATTTTGACGGAAGCTGTACAGGAGCGTTGAAGGATGTATTATAGACTGCGTTCTGCAATGAATATAAGTGTTTAGCATCACTGTGAATGTCAGAAAAGGATATGAATCAGTATACCACGCGCTGAATTCGTGCAAGATGCTACATGGGTCAGTGGTGTCAAAACTTTCACAAGTGAAAACGCATGCAATGTAAACCATTTTGACATTCTGCTAAAATCTGAAAATCAGCATCAGCGTTCATCAATCAAGCTGGGTGCTTGGGTAAACACCCAAACCAAGCTTCACCAGATAGCCCGCATTTATCTTCCGTTAATGTTTGGGTGATTGACAGTGTATTGACTCGTATGCCTTATCCTGTATGCAGGCACCCACTGCAACGTCGCTACCCAACCGGTCATCAGCAAAGGACAATATTGACCCTGATACCGGCCAGGTTTATTGTGTTATAAATATTTAGAGTGTCTGATTGCCAACGAAAGATTAACGAAAAAGGGGTCATTATGCCTTGTTAGCAGGAAATAAAACCCCTCGGATGTATCGGCTAGAGGATTATTCCCCATCAACTATTAAATACCTGTAGGAAAGCTAATCGTTGTCTGAATCTTTTGCGATCGATTTCACATGTTACTCAGGGCACAAACTGAACGTACCGTCGGAGCTGTGACGTCATCAGGACGAGGTCACAACCTTGTTGTCGTTGTAGTAAACATGATCAGGGTGACTGAGGTAAAATGTAACGTATCTAGTAATGCGTACTAACGCCGAGACGTGATCAGGAAAGTAGTCCTAGCCAGCCACGTTTAGCGCTTGGTTTTGCGATAATGTGCCAACGAGGCCATAAGGTCATGAAAACACATGTCTGCAGTGGCAGCCCGGTTGTCATCCCAAACAGTGTGGCTTCCAGGGTGCTGGCTTCCAGGGTGCTGGCTTCCAGGGTGCTGGCTTCCAGGGTGCTCGCTCTTGCACTGGTAACACCTGTCTAGGAACATATTGGCCAAAGATCATCTTCGCAATCATGTAAAGGAACAAAGAAAAGGTCGAGACGGTGGTCATGAAATATACAATCAGCCACGGCAGCTTTTTATAAATATAATATACAATATAATAAGATGATTTGTACCAATGCAGCGAAACCAGTACACGTGGATTGCCCATTCCTGTCATCGCGTGTTGCTTGTATTAAAGCTAACTGTACGGTTAAAATGAAAACTGTTACACGTTAGGGCCAAGCTCCACAACCAACAGCCTTGGTCATATATCGACAAGAGTGAGTGAGTGAGTTTAGTTTTACGCCGCACTCAGCAATATTCCAGATATATGGCGGCGGTCTGTAAATAATCGAGTCTGGACCAGACAATCCAGTGATCAATAGCAGCATGGGCATCGATCTGCGCAATTGGGAACCGATGACATGTGTCAACCAAGTCAGCGAGCCTGACCACCCGATCCCGTTAGTCGCCTCTTACGACAAGCATTGGTTACTGAAGTTCAACATTCTAATCTGGACCTTCACGGGTCTATATCGACAAGAGACTCCAGTACATGCCGGTGTACATTTATGCATAAACATATAAACAGCATGTGTCCTACTTGTGTCTTGGTTATATCACACCCACTGGTGTCAAGGTTTGAATGGGATTCGACAACGGCTGCCGAAAAATAGCTGGTATGTAGCAAAGTGCTGCAAAACGGCCTAAACCAAACTGAACAACATGTAACGGTTTGGTAAAGTACTGTCGGAAATGCTAGAAAAATGCTTTTTGACTTATATTTAAAATTCAGAGGTATTACAGTTACTTAAATAACAAATATCACTTCAAGAAACATCTACCTAATGTAGACCGAGGGAATAAATTTTGAGACATGCTCTAAAATGTGTTTTTACTGATGAAAATACCAAAAACTTAGAAAAATAAGGGGTAGTGGGACGTTATTTGATACAAACATTAACTGCCTGTGTTACGTCATCAGCATCCACGGTATCGACAGGTGAAATTGACACCTGAGCACACGCTCGGGCGAGGGGTCATCTCAATAGATGTTTTCTGCAAAATGTTGAATATGTGTACGTATAGTATACGTATTGGTTATGTAAGG